CCGACTGAACCACCCAGGTGCCCCAAGATTTTATATTTTAATGTCATAGTTTATTTATTCCAATAAAACAGTATGTTGTATTTTGGGGCATGTTTAAAACTTTATATAGATGGTATTGTCTGGTATTCTTTTGTAACCTGAATTTTCATTCACAAATCCTTGTCAACTTCATCCACGCTGGTGCATATAGTCCTAGTTCCTTCTTTCTCACTGCTGTATAGTATTCCATTGTGTGAATGTACCACAGTTTATTTACCCAGTCTCCTTTTTCCTCCAAGTATTTGTCATTAAAATAATTAGTGATGGGCATTCATACACGTGCAAACATGTTTCCTGGAGTACATGTATAACGGTTTCCCTAGGATATGTTCACAGAGCCGTTGGTTATGTTTACATATCTCCAATTTTGCTGGGTGTTGTCAAATATTACTATACATCCTACAAAGTGGTTGTACCAGTGGACACTTACTTAGCAGTATTTGGGAGTTTAATTTGGTCCATGTCCTTTCCAGTTATGGATATTGTCAAGATTACAATTTTTCTGATCTGATGGGTGGTGACAGGTCTTTAAATATCTTTTTATTTTGAAATAGTCTGACCTACAGAAGGTAAGTAAAAAAATAGTAGAGAATTCATATATACCTTTTGCCCAGGTTTCCCTAATGTTAACTTACATAACTATAGCACAATTACAAAACCAAGGAATTACTATCAGTACAATGTTGTTAACTACCAAACTATGACCTTATTCAAATTTCACCAATTCTCCCCCAATGTCCCTGTTCTGCTCCAGATCATATGCAGGATCCCACTTACATTTAATTGTTGTATCTCCAGAGTCTCTTTCCATCTGTGACAATTCCTCAGTTTTTCTGTCTTTCATGACCTTGAAGACTCTTGCCTTTCATGACTTTTGCTGAGTGCCAGTTGTTTCACAGGTCTCTCAAATTGGGTTTATTTGATGCTTTATGATTTGATGGAGGCTAAAACAATACCTTCATTCTAGATTAAAATAGTTGAAAGGATAATGTGCTTACTTATGAAGAACTCTGTCTTCTGTGGATAGAGTTGCATTTACTGCAGATGATGATATTTTGGAGCAGGGGGTCTGGACTCATGTGAGGAGACCTCATGAGTCCCCTCACGAGGGATTCAAGAATCCCTCCTATCCAGGGGAGGTAAAGTGCTACCTACAACCTGGCACAAAGGTAGGGAGAAACTTCCAGCAAGCACATGGTCAAGAAATTGTAGAAGACAGTGAACACAATGTTCAGTTTAGTTTTTTTTTTTGGGGGGGGGGGCGCAGTGAGGGTTGTGTAGTAATTCCTCTCTTTTCTGCAGGCCTTTGGTAAATTATTTGTTTAAACTTATAGCCTGATTTTAATTTTATTTTTAAGGGTTTTTTTAATGTTTATTTTTGAGAGAGACAGGGGAGGGGAAGGGAAGGGAGGGGAGGGGAGGGGAAAGGAGAGGAGAAGAGGGGACGGGAGGGGAGGGGTGGGGAGGGGAGAGAGGGAGACACAGAATCTGAAGAAGTTTGCAGGCTCCAAGCTGTTAGCACAGAGCTGACATGGGGCTTGAACTCACAAACTGCAAGATCATGACTTGAGCTGAAGTTGAAGTCAGATGCGTAACCAACTGAGCCACACAGGCACCCCTCAATTTATAGCCTGATTTTATTTTTTATTAAAAAATTTTTTTTAATGTTTATTTTTGAGAGAGAGAGAGACAAGACAGACAGACAGAGCACAAGCAGGGGAAGAGCAGAGAGGGAGGGAGACAGAGAATTCGAAGCAGGCTCCAGGTTCTGAGCTATCAGCACAGGGCTCCATGCAGGGCTCAAATTCACAAACTAGAAGATCATGACCTGGCTGAAATTGGACACTTAATCTACTGAGCCACCAGATGCCCCCACCCTGATTATAGATGTGCTTTTCAGGATCAAGAGAGAAGGGTCTTATCCATGGTTGGGGTGCAGGCTATAGGGAGAAGGGAAAAAGTAGTAACAAAGTGGTAAAAGGTGGCTACAGATAAGTGGAAGCCAGTTCAGTGCCAGAATCCGGCTTATCCGCTTAGGTACAAGCATGCTACATGTAACATGTAAACATTCCTGGGATTCCCAGAAATACTTAGGAAGACAATATGAAAATAAGAACATTAAGTATCACACAGGTTGCGGGCTTGAATGGGTTCGTTATCATCCTAGACCAAGATCAATCACCATTTTTTTTTAAATTTTTTTTTTTTTTACATAATCTCTATACTCAACATGGGCTCAAATCACAACCCGAAGATCAAGAGTCACATGCTCTGCTGACTGAGCCAGCCAGATGCCCCAACAACCATTTTCTTTCTGAAGCATTCTCTATCCTCCCTTCCCTTGGTAGGGAAGTCACACAGCTACTTGGTAGATATAATGTAGTACAGATCTCCAAGAAACTTGTTTGTTCTCATCTCACCTTCCATTTTATTTTGTAGTCCTGGTGTGTGATTCTAAAAATATCTATGGAATGAATAAATGCATACAGTGGGCTATGCAATATTTCAGGTGGGACTCCAAATCGTCTTGTAAGATGTGTAATACCAGCTATAAGCTTGTGCCTGCCTTCCCATCCAAGCAGACAGCAGGTTTCAGGTTCATGGTCACAGGACAGGATGTCACAGGGAGGAGAAAATGCTGTGGGAAGAGGTTCATCCATAATAAGATTATACTATGTGTCTTTGAATCAAACCTGTTGTGATATGAGGTAGAGTCTCTGAGGAAAAGCAAAGCAGTGGTCTTGGGGAATCTAATTGGATTTGGGTGTAAAAAAAAAGTAAAATGTTTGGTAACGTAATTTCATCAACCTGATTTTGTACACCACTTGGTATGTATGGTCTTTTGGATGGTTTCAATTCTCAAAATTATAAACATGGAGCTTCTTTTTGTTAACTGTTTCCTTGGTGGTAAATTCTGTGGACTTGTTTTCTTCCAGTGGGTACTCCAGAACTGCTTGTTTTTCCCCTGCCTAGGAACTCATCCTTGCTGAGAACCCCTGGGTTAGACCATCAGCTGCTCCTGCTTGTACAGCCTGACTAAAAGGAGAGGCAGTGTTTTCAGTAAGGGATTAAAAAGATGCCCAACTGAGTATGGTTCCTTGGTGGCTGGTCTTCTGGACTTGGGTATTCCCATTTCTGCCACTTCAGGAAATACGTCCACTTGTGACTGGAAGGTGTTGAGATGGGGATGGGGGTGTATGTGGAGATGCTTAATGATCCACTGGCTTGGCTGCTCTCACCTCAGCGCCCTCAGGAAACTGCTTCTCTGTATGTTGCCTGAGGCACCTCCTGCCTCTGGACGCCATCACTTGTGGTGATAAGGGCCTCCTTGGCATGACTCCTGTATTTTATGTGGTATCTTCCCATGTGCTTGCCGCCTGCGTTTCAGGATGCAGTTTCTTCTTCAATTTGATCATGTTTCCATTCTCTCAGGGATTTCTTAGTTTCAGAAACCCTTCTTGTTTCACCAAAACTTTCCCTTCTTGTTTCAAGTTTGGCAATGTAGCTCCCTAATCTTTAAGAAACAACAACAACAACTCCTCTATCGATAATTTTTCAGGTTTGGTGCAGGAGTGGGGGCAGGGAGGATCTTACACTGAATCCATCGGAAGCACATGTCACGGCGCCCTGCAGTGTTTTACTAGATAATCAACCGGTCTTCGTGATTACCTTGAACTACTGCAATGAAGGACTGGGAACCAGGTATATAGAGCATTTCCAAGAGATATTATGAGGCTGACGGGAGATTCTTGTTAGCAATATATTCTATTAAGATTGGATTATTAAAATGTTTTATTTTTTAAGTCTACTTACATGAGAAGAGGGAACTGCTTAGTGGTACAGAGAACTGGTAAGAAACAGTAATAGTACCTCCTAACATCAGCTGTGAGCCCTCTGCATGTCACATTTAAACATCACAGCCACTTTATGAAGTAGATGCTATTATTATCATCGTTTTGCAGATGTGGAATTGAGACACAGCAAGATTAAATAACTCACTTATGGTTGCACATCTAGTACAAGAGCGAGCTAGTAGCTTGGGCAGGGTGTACACCAGAGCTCTCGATGTAACCACTGCGTCAAGATGTGTGCCACAATGTCGACCCTCAGGAGTTTATAAAGTAGTTACAAGGTTCAAGTGTCAATAGAATGGTTTTGTCTGGTAAAGGTTTGAAACAAGGCAAGTGTTGTCACTTCCAGGTAACAAATGGGTATGATGAATCAGTAGTTTAGACATGTCGTCTAGACTTTACTGTTTCAACTCTCCCTCACTACTTCACCCTCCACCCCGACAGGACTATCAAAACTCTGGCAGTCACCTTTGACCCCTCTCTTTTTCTCACACAGTTCATCAGCAAATCGTCTTGGTCATTCCTTTAAAATCAATCAACCCCTCTTACATCTCCGTTGTATCTGGGATCCACATTGTGTGTGTGAGTGTGTGCGTGCGTGCACATGCGCCTCTCTATATATATTTTTTAAGTAGGCTCTATGCCCAACATGGGGCTCAAATTTATGACCTTGAGATCAAGAGTCACAATCTCTACCAACTAAGCCAGCCAGGTGCCTCTGTAATAATGTCTTTTTAAAAATACTTTTAAGCACTGGATTGTGAACAGAATTACTAGGCCGTTTATGCTTGTAAATGACAAATGTCGTTTCTAGTATGGAGTATGGCTTAAAACCATTTTTGTTTTAATCCTTGGGAGCCTAATACCCTATTCTTCACTGCTATACTCATTAAGTAAGTATTCGAGCGGGTTCTCACCTATGTTTTGGAAGCTGGTGATTCAGACTATGACAAAAGTGAACTGAAATCCATCCATCTTAATTTGATTCTAGGCAGTTCTCCAACTGTGAACACTTTTAGAGACAATCTTCAAATGTTCTATGTAAGTATATCCAGCTTTCAGGAAAACATCTGTTCTATTTTGGAGGTTTGCAAATCTACACAAGTTCACTGATTTCTATGTCATGACTATATTTATATATCACAGAATACATTGATCATCCAAAAGAGAAAAAGATACATGTAATATTAAATGCCACACTATAAATCAAGATAACTAAATTGTTAAACAGTAATGCTCTTACAAACAAATACAGAAATACTGTTTCATTCTGTATTATTCTGTTTGATGGCTTCTATGGCTGTGCACTGCAACAATTTTTTCTTTCACAGTATTAGCCATTCTACTGGTTTCTAAAACAAAAATTCCTGATTTTTCCCTGTGAGTACTGCCTCTAAATACAAACAAGAAATTAACTATAATCACAAAAGGAAAGTTTCATGGTCATAATTTCTCACTTGTGGAAACATTTTGGAGTCTGATGGTTTTATTCCCTCTAATGGGAATTTACAAGCCTAACAACTAATATCTGAATTGTGACTACAGGGCATGGTCCTAATCCCAAGATGCACTCAAATAATCTTCAAGAGACTAGAAGCAAAATATAACGTACAGATTGTCCGGTAAGAATAAACTGTAAAGTTGTCTTCATATCTGGACTTTTTGCAACTGAAAACAAATGGTGAAGAGAGATATATGCTCTGAGAAATCAGTTAGAGGCCTACGCAAGTACAAGTAACTCCTCAAGTTCAGAAAGTGGAACCATAAGGCTTCTCCTGAAGCAGAGCAAGTCATACCTCCATGTTCTCTGTCACAACCCCTCAGTGTCTGGTGTACAGTTTACCAGCTAGTTTTTTAGAAAGCCTTTTCAACAGGAAGACGACTCATCACACAGCCTTTCATTCATATATGAGGTGGGAGCACCTCGCTAGGTCCACTGAGGTACTGTGTACAAAAATGTTACATTACTGATTCAATCCACCTGGTTATCTCATTTTTTCCCCTGGCAACTTTCCATTCTTCCTAATGTACCAAAGATTTAGAAAATTAGAAACAAAAGAAGTTAAGGAGTGCAAGGAACAAACTTCAGTTGTAAGAAGCCAGCAAAAAACACGGTTCCAGAAAAATATCGGACTGGGGCCATTTAAAAGAAGGGGAAATAATTTATGATAACCCTAAATTGCCAAGGAAAACACAAAATACCTTAATATATCTGAAAAAGTACAAAAGTGTATGACCCATTTAATACTTTCACCAAAATAAATAAAACAACTGTCAGTTCTTTTTGTGATAAGCTTCAGTTATCTGGAATATTTATTTTACAAGATATATTCTCTTCCCTAGGAATGTCAGAAAATTAGGAAGCATTAAAATAAGAGCTCCTTAATCTTCACCAAGAGAAAGGATAACACAGGCTTAATGGAAGAAACAGGATTCTGAATTTCCCACCAATTTTATAAATTATAAAGCATACAGAGATGTAAAATGTACACATCACTTAACAATAATGTTGCATGGCTGCTTGTTAAATTTGATGTGCTGATTTAAAGTGACCTGAAACTTCTGCATCTTGTCACATTCAACGTAAATGTTCCAGAGTTTCGTCTAGAAATCTGGATTATTTTGACAATACCCCCCAAAATCATGTTAGAGCAAGCACTAAGAAACTATGATCTAAACTTTTTAAAATATATAATGAGATTAGATAATTAGGACAACCGAGGACAAGATTCACGTTTGATAAAAGAGAACAGTATTTCTCTCCCATTCACACTGTGCCACATAGATTTTTTTACCTCTATCTGAAAGGTTTGCAAAAAGCCAAATGCTCCAATAATGAATGGTAATAAATACACAATAAAACACACAGTCATAAAAAAGGTTCTGAAAATTTAAGAACAGGTACAATCTTGACTTTTGATTATCAACAGTCTTTTCAGGCCAACAGAATCCTCTATGGCTTTTTTGTAAAGGGCTAGTTAAAAATTCTACTAGGTTACCTATCTTTTCACCACAGCTCAAAATCACAGGGTTTCCTTACAATATTTACTACTACAGTTTCAATTCTGTTTTGGAAGTGAAACTTCTGCAAGTTTAGTATTAATGACTAATATATTGCATTATTAAAATGAATAACACACTTCAGGAGCTGAAGTGTGTAGTATATTTGCATTTCAAAAACACCCACAAACTAACATAGATATTTAAAATTTTTATTGTTTCATCATCAAGAGTTTTCTTTCCATAGAAGAGTGGCAATGCGGTATCAGTGCATGTTCTATGGAAAATTCACACCTCCAAGACCTAGCCTAGAGATCAGAGACAGCACTATGTCAAGCTAGTGTGCAGGATGAGAGACACAATGCTGCCAATGCAACCAGGATACAGAAAGGATATGCAGCTGTTAGAAAAAGAGTCTATGGCCAAGTGAATAAAACAGTCGCAGTGCACTGCACTGGTATTCTAGAACAGAAAACAGGAAAGGGCCAGAGTGTACTTCCTGCAAAAAAAAAAAAAAAACAAAAAAAAAACCAAGTAGATCACAGGCACTGAGTTCCCAACTGTATGGCCAGCTAATTCATGCACGCCTGTACCTTCCCCTTTAGGTCTACATCATTGCAACACTGCAAGCTGTTTTCAGCCTACTGTGTAAGTGGGACAGCCACATGCAGGTATCTCGTTCTGCTTCCCATCTCACAGCTAGTCACCACTTGGGCCTGGCAATAAAACCTGTGGACTTTAGGCATCTTAGTAAAAAACTGAACAAACCCAAAATAGGTTCCCATTTTCTTGAGAAATAGATTCTATATAAAAGCTGTCATGATCACTCAGTTTTATCTGAAGGCAAAACAATTTTTATGTAAGTATACTGAATAAACACAGAAACGTCCCAACAAAATACCATCAGACCAACTTGAACATTTTCATAACTAGCTCTTGCAAAAGGTACTGGTAATTGTTGAGATGCAAATGACCACTACGATTTAATCATGCCTGGTTACTGGGAACTTTTTGGTCAGGTTTGTGTCTGAAGCTGCTATACAGCTGGATTTGGCTACTTTGCATTAATTCACATAATAAATGCCATTTAAAAGGAAACAGATCTATCATGATGAAATAAAAATCAAAAAAGTTGAGAGGTATACAGGAAACTTGTCTTAAATATTTTTAAATTACATATGATATAACCTTAGAGAATAAGAACTACAATTACCATGGTCTAAATCTTAAATTGTTAATGCATGACTTAACTGCAAGACTAACCAGTTGCTTGTTAATCATGTCAAGGCCTTGCGGGGCAGGGCACTCTGCATGTATGGCATAGCAAGTACTTTCCAGGTGAGACAAACACCTCTAATTTAAAGAGTTATTAAACTATATTTGAAAAGTTAATTTACTTAATATATACAACGTATAAAATAAGTTAAAAGGAAGAAGCGGGGAAAGGTTTTCTGGTCTAAATGATGCACACATACAACTTTCCCTCATCAGTAGTAGTTCCACAGATGTCCACTTCACCCACAGTAAAATATCAAAGGCTGATAGAAGATCAAATATTTCACTTATAAATAGAAAGAGAATTAAAAAAATGGAATTTCAATGATGTTTCTTCCCACAATGCAACTCACTCTATTTTACCTATAATAGTCATAAATAAAAACCATCTCAAAAATCTGGTTTTACAAGCTTACCTTTCAGTTTAACAATCAATTCCTTTAACAACTGAGAAGAAAAGCACTCCTTTGTAGCAATTCCATAAAAGAATTTTCAATTCACAAAATGCCTGCTTACTAGCAAAACCAGCAACCTTTATGGAGGGCATGGGCATTAACACTTGGCCCCTCTGAGGTATAAATGCAGCTATATGTGTACTGAGTATACAGTCTATAAGGTACGCCAACAGTCTGCATGTTTGCATAAAATTGGGAGTGATGTCATCCTGACTGATTGAAAACTTTTTTTTTTAACTTTTCACAATGGAGGTTAAATAATTTTAAGACAAAAGATGTCCTTTAGCCCAGTAATAGCCAGCAGAAATCTAACTCCTAACCAATGCAAATGGTTATTACATTTTTAAAATGTTTAAGGTTGCATGTTGATTAAAAAAAAAAAACTAAACAGGGACATGTAAATACTCAAATTCAGCAGGACACTGCAGAAAGCATACTAGAGATATGTGTGAAATCAGTCAAGCTTTTCCAAAAGAGAAAATCCTTTTAATCCTTCAGCAAGTCTCTGTGAAAATAGTATGCTTACAATAAAAGTGAGAAGGGAGCACTGAGAATACCCCCAAGATGCTTGCTGTACCACTCAGCATTCCTGCCCCATCTCCTGTGCGCGTGGACGGCCGACAAATGACAAGAAGTCCGTTTGACAATAGTTCACTAATTCCTTCACCACTGCTGCCAGCTGAAGTCATCATTGCTTCCAAAGACCAAGAAAAAGCCCAGGATAGTTGCAAATATGACTGTGTTTCCTGTGAGAACGAGCGCACAAGCTCCCCACTCAATCTAGGGAAATAAGACAGATAAATGCTTAGTTAACAGATGTAGGAGAAACAGAAAGAAAATGAAAAGCAAATCTAGATTCTAGTTGTATGTCAATCACGATATGAAAACAAGTAAGATCTGTGATAGTAATTTTCACTCTATTTAACGCTTTTTTCCCCCACTCTATTTAACGCTTAATGGTCCTTCTATATTGCTGTTTTTAATTTGCTTCCTTTAAAAAGACAGGGAAGTCATGAAAATGATCATTAGTCAAAAGTTAGACTTTTGGGTGGCCAGTCCCTGGCTTCTCTAACTCCCCAGAGATGAAGGAGTGAATCTGACTGGTGAGTCTGGAAGGAAGACCAAGGATACAGAGCCCAGGGCCTTCTCTTTCACACTTTCCCATGCAAAGAACACAATACCTCCTCAGGCCTTGAAACAGTTACAGAGGGTGGCCTGTGGTTATTATGTGCTGGGTGAGTTGATGTGCCCAATTCTGAGAGTGAAGAACTAGTAAGCCAACTGTTGCTGCAGACCCCAGCCATGCTCTACAGTATCATCATTTTTTTTTTTTTTCTTTAAAGTAGGCTTCACGTCCAGCATGGAGCCTTATACGGGGCCTGCACTCATGACCATGAGATTAAGACCTGAGCTGAGATCAACAGTTGGAAGCTTACCTGACTGAGACACCCAGGCCAATATCATTTTTATCAGTTAACAATAACAAAAGATTATCTCTATCCTCTAAGATCTTATGTCTCTCATGTATGTTTCATGTCATTTAACAAAACCTTTTTCCTGAGACAATTCTAACATAGTCTAAGGTAAAATCGTTAACAGAAAAATATATACACTTACCAGATGTGCTCTGGCAAATACAATAGGGAGCCCAAAAGCTGAGACAACAATGCCTGTTGTAAGAAATATGGCAAGTTCCTTACAAGCATTACTCATAGCATCTGTATCATCCACTAATCTTCTTGCTATGCAGTATGGAATAGGTGAAAGGATGTAAAAAAACAGAACAAAGAGAGGCCAGTATTGGCTAGAAAAAAAAAATAAGTTAATGTAGTTTTTGCTATCTATGTCATTTTCCTACACATATGTTTTTTTAAAAATTAAGACCAAAGAAATATTACAGGCTACAAAACAAGACATAGTTTAAAAATAAATAACTGAATGCTGAAAAGAGAAATAATTAGAAACACAGTATTCCTAAAGTGAACTATGACACAATGATTAAATATTTTTTATATTGAAAGAAGATGCTTTATAAATTATAGCACTTGGAATCAAGGCTCAAAATTAAAAATATTTTTTAAATTTTAGGTTAGTTAAATTTTAGGTAGAAAATGAACTGAAAGTAATATTGAAGACTTTCAGTCAGACTATAGAAAACAGATGGCTTCTAATCAACAGTCTAGCTATTGTATCGTGTCAATGTGGTTTCCTGGTTTGGATAATACAACTAGAGTTACGTAGGACAGCCACTGGGGGAAGCGTGTGTGAAGGGTACGGGGAACCTCTCTTTACTATTTTTTTTTTTTTTTTTTTTGCAACTTCTTGATAATACATAATCGTTTCAACATAAAAAGTAAAAAAAATACAGAAGCACAAAAAGTGAAAACTCCAACCTGCCCACGTCTCTCTCTGCTTTCTCTTTCCTGCTTTCCTAACAAACTTCTTGTGGATCCTTCCATACAGATAAACTTTAACAATATGAATCATTGCACTTTTTCATTCAACAAGGTATCTTGAACACCTTTCTATATTAGCAGTCACAGCTCTTAGCCCCTCCTCATTCTTTTTAAGATTGCCTACTATTTCCATTGATGGACATACTATAATTTAGCCATTTCTCTTTTGATAGGCCTTTAGGATGCTTCCAGGTTTTTTTGTTATTATAAACAAGGCTGCTAGGTACATCCAGATTCTCCTCTCACTACACACACCTTTGTAAACATCTGCCAACAGATTTGTATGAGAAATTCTAAGGGGAAGGGCTAGTTCAAGGAACACATATATTTTAAGGGCTACAAGCCAACTGGCTTCCAAGATGATTGACTGCATGAAGCTATACCTCCACTCTATCATACATGATAGTGCCTACTTGAGGCTGAGTATATTTTCATGTGTTTACTATAATCTGCAGTTCCTTTTTCATATTTATTGTGCAGTTTTTCTATTTAGTTTTATTTTTCTTACGAATCTATCCTATTCATTTTAAAAAGTTCTTTCTATCCTATGGAAAATAATTGCTTACATAACTTTTTTTTTTCTTAGTCAACTATCTCTTGACTATGCTTTTGGTATTTTTTGCTGAAAAGGCATTTTAAATTTTCTTGTGTTTAATTTTATCAAGAGGTGCTCAAAACTGAGCATCAGTGCAATAACCAAAAAGTATTTTTTGCACTTTTAAAAAGGTTTGTCCTTGGTAAATGAACATTTCTCAGGATTACTTCTACAGTGAAAGCTTTTATTAAAAAAAATTTAAAGCTTTAAAAGTAGAAAAATTTTACCCTTAAACACAAAAAGACAAAAATTTTACATACTTGTATATTGGAAGGGCACATCCAAGCATCAAAAACATCAGCCCAATTGCTCCTCCAAAGGACAAACTAATCAAAGCTGCAAAGTAAATAATCAAATACACATATTAATTAAACTAAATTAAAATTTTTATCAATATTAATATTAGCAGTCTGAACATTACCTGTGATCCCAGAAGCAAAAAGCAAAACACAGAAAAACGAATGCATTAAAAGTGAATTATATTCAGGGGTGCCTGGGTGGCTCAGTAAGTTAAGCATCCTAAGGTCATGATCTCCTGGTTTACGAGATCGAGCCCCATATTGGGCTGTGCACTGACAGTGTGGAGCCTACTTGGGATTCTCTCCCTCTCCCCCTCCCCCACTCACAGTAAGTGCACACTCTCTTGAAATAAACAATAAAAAAATAAAAGTCAGTTAATTATTTTCAAAAGCGTGTAAGTTATCCATAGTCTCAAAATAAGTTTTTTGTGTCATCTTCAAGGCAACATAAAGCAACACTGATTTTCAAAGCCCTGACCTATTGTGAGCACCCCACCACATTCCCTCATTACTGTCTCCATTTCTTTTTTAAATTTATTTTTGAGAGAAAGACAGAGTGTGATCAGGGGAGGGGCAGAGAGAGGGAGACAGAGAATCCAAACAGGCTCCAGTCTTTGAGCTGTCAGCACAGAGCCCGACTTGGGGCTCAAACCCAAGAACTGTGAAATCATGACCTGAGCCAAAGTCTGACGCTTAACTGACTGAACCACCCAGGCACCCCACTGTCTTCATTTCTAATGAGTATTCTAGCCTCCCAGATCAATGCTCCTCTAGGCATTAGTGTTATATTTACTCCACAGATAATTACAGTTTGAAAAACAGGATGTGGAGAAACCGCATTCTCAGCTTTACTGGATGTTAGAAATCTTGTCGTATGGGAAAGTCTCTCATGATCAGATCCTGCTTCTTGCACATACACCCCCACTGTACTCAAAACGACTATGAAAAAAGTGTCCAAGGATACCTGTAGTTAATAATTTTAATCAACTAAGTTTGATATAGATCTTTACATAATTTATAAAACTATAGCTGGGTTTCCTCCCCTAATTTCCTACTTATTAGAAAATGTGCAGGATAATGGATGGGTACAAATCCTTCTTTGGTATCACTTTTTAAGATACCACAGGCTGTAGAAACATTCTACAGGTGAAACATCATTTCTAAAATTATACACACACACACACACACACACAGAGCATTATATTTTATGAAGTCTTTTCCCATATATTAGTGAATAGAAACAACTTTCTTGAATAGGCAGTTAATCAACGGCTTAGCATTAAGCAAAGATATAAATAATCAATTTATTTTGAGTTCTATATAACTTGTATTTCAGCTACTGCACTGGCTAAAAGTACAACTTAAGCGGGTTTTTTTGGTTTGTTTTTAATGCAGTCTATTAACCTTAACAGAAACATTAAAATCCAAAAGGGCTGTAGAAGGTCTAAAAGTTACCAAAACAAAAGCTAACATACACAAACCAAAATTAACAGTAGAGGGGTTAAATGCTTCCCAGTACTACTGATAGCCTTCTTTGAATTAAAATGGCAATAACTGGGTGCCTGGGTGGCTGAGTAAGTTAAGCATCTGGCTCTTGATTTTGGCTCAGGTCATGATCTCATGTTTAGTGAGACCAAGCCCCATTTCAGTTCTGCACTGACAGTGCAGAGCCTGCTCAGGATTCTCTCTCTCTCTCTCTCTCAAAATAAATAAACAACCATTTAAAAATAGATAAAATGATCACAATAAGGATATCGACTCACATGGTAGGTTGGCAGATTTAGTTTTCCTTTAGATCACTGATTTAGGTCATGTCAACCCTGAACACATTTACTTAGTCCTTATTGCCATTATATTTTCAATAACAGAAAAAAGAAAGAAAAAAACCCTGCACTTTTATTTTACAGCAAATGAGGAACCTCAAGTTTACAATGGAGTAAAATGTGAACTGTGAGGAGAATACGGAGTTTACCATTTGTTTTGTTCAGTTCAAAAATAGGTCCTCAGAATCTGGCCCTGCTTACTCCTGACACACTCACACCAGGCTATTAGCCCCCTGTTCTCTGCACTTCCATGACACTGGCCTTCTTTCCTCTCCTGGCAATCAGGCTCCTTCCCCCACATGGCCCGTGTGCCTGTTGTCCTACCTCAAGACATGTTTTCATTCATTCATTCATTCAAGAAATATTTGCTCTACATATATTAACTGCAAACCAAATACATAACAGGTGCTGGAGATTATGTAAATAAATCAGACAAGGTCCTTTCACACTCAGGGAGCTTGTATTCTTGTTCCATTCCCTTCCTCTTTCCTCCAAGTGAACTCCTCCATGTCCTTAGGATCTCAGCTCAATCATTTCTTCCTCAGTGAGGTTTTCCCAAACCTCCTGACTTAATCAAAATTCCCCTTACCTCATTCATTCATTCAACAAATATCTATTGAGCACCTAACATGTGTCACACACTGTTCTTGATACTAGAGATAAAGCAATGAAAAAAAAATCAAAGCTCTTGGTCTCACGAAGCTTACATTCTAACAGAACAAAATGATTTAAAAAAAAAAGTAAGCAAATGAATGTCAGGTGCTATGAAAAAAATCATGTAGAGTAAGAAGATGGAGGGCTTTTCGAGACACAGTGGGCTGGCAAGGCATCTCTGATGAGGTGACATCTGAGCAGAGGCTTGTAGGAAATGAGGGAGTGAATCATTAGGATTTCTGGGGAGAGCGTCCCAGGCAGAGGGCCATGCGTGCGCGGCCCTTTTGCCCAGTACACAACCCCTTTGCTCAGTTATCACAGCTATAATTTTATATCGGTTTGCATCTGTCTTTCCTTGCACCCTGTTAGTTCGACCACAGCAGGGAAAGAGTTTTTCTGTTGTTGATGCTCACACCCCAGCTCTCAACATTGAATAATAAATATTTGTAGAATACAGAAAAGGAACCCAAGTGGAAAAAAAGAGAGAAAAGGGACAAAAGGGAAGAGGAGGGGTAGATCACGCCAGAGGAAAGGCAGCACATAACTGAAAGTCAGGCGACAATGGGTCCGTAGACCCTATTAGCCACTTACTGTCTACAAAATTATATCTGAATGTCAGTTCTTTCTTCTATAAAATGAGACCGGGATTAGATCTAAAATGCGAATAATTCTCCAAACACTAAAGATGTTTGTTATAAGACATGCTGAAGAAGTAAAAAACCATCTCCATTTAAAAATAAATTTTAATTCACATGAATTTCAGAGAGCCATCTCTACTTTTTCAATGCAGCTGCCAAACAGCTAAATTCACCACTATAAATACTACATAGTAACAATTTATTTATCCAGAATATAATTTAGAATCCTGGAGGAAACAAGGGTCACTAAAGAGACAAAACAGATGTCACAAAGCGCATATGCTAAATCTACCATTCTTTATAAACAGACCCTTAGGGTCCTATTCAGCCGATGTTGCTTTATTCATTTTTGTGATTCAACTGCTGTGTGTGAATTTCAGCAGAATAAAAAAGAATTTTAAGAGTCATCTATGTTCACTTATAATATTTTTTCAATAGCAATTCCTATAGCCAGAACTAAATTAAGTGGAAAGTAACTTTCTCTACCCAGGAATGATCACTGTTACATGTAGCCTGTTACATAAAATTTTCTAAGTTTGATGATCTTGTTTCCCATATTGAAACAAATGAGAAATAGGAGGCAGAACTGCACATAAGCAAGATCTGCCCTCTGACAAGAGAAAGGAAACTGAAAAAAAAATTTAAATCAGGCAGATCTCAAAAAGCATGGTTTATAGTAATCCTGGCCAAAAGGCAAATAGCTTTACTACTTGATGGTCTCTGAGGGTAACTCTTTTATGACAGAGAACAATTATTTATGCTCTTATCAAAAAAAGGAAATCCAAATTTTTTGAGTACACTCTTAAAAAGTTAATGAAAGATTTCTTTTAAGCAAAAATTGAAAACAAGGTAAGACTCAAGTATCAAAAAATTTCATGTGATATCTCACGTCCCATTTGTACCGGATATAGTAAAAAACAAAAACAAAAACAATGGGGTTAAATAAATTGCTCAAAAGTGTTCTCAAACCTTGTAAAGTTTCTCTAGTCTTATGAAATCAGCAACTAGTCTGATTTATACACAAATTTCATCATTTGTGTATAAATGGATGTCCCCGATGACACATCAGTAAGTCAAGAATTTATACTGTAATCGAGTGATGAAACATTTGGAGGGCAAAACTTAGATGAGTCTAGTTTCTACTCCCAAAGCCTCTAGGCTAGGGATGGAACAGCCCAATTATTTAAACTCTCTGGAGACAGGGTGCTGATTCTGTGATTACAAAGAAATTAGAGTAGCAGGGACCAGTTCCCTAACCTGGGAGTTACTTGAAAAATCTAATACATAACCAAATAACACGGCTTAAGAAGTAAGTATTGGTCTCCAATGATAGCAGCACTCCTGCCTAATATAGACACAGGCCAACAGAAAGAAAATATCTTGATAAACAATCCTAACAATCAAAAAATCTTACTGAAACCAAAAGTGTAAGTACAATTCCATCTGAGGCACTTTCACCTGATTAATGTTTTCCTAGATTCCCAGAAGGAAATTACAGTTATTTTCCTACCACAGAGACGCCCTATGTTAATGACACTGAAAAAATGAGGAAGAACTAGGAAACTGGCAACATCCTTAAAACCACAGCATTCTACCCTGTCTTTCCATACAAGGATTCAAGAAGGCCTATTTACAGTTCAAAAACAGATCGAAAAATTATCTTTGTTGCTCAAATTACAAAGTTTCATATCGGAAATGAAATGTTCTCAGGCATTAAAAACAAACCAGAAAGCGTAAAAATGTGACTCTGGGAAAGTAGCTCAATAAAACTCCTGAAGGATACAAATTATGCAGAAAAAACACTATCAAAGTTCTTCACTTCCTGCTTGCTTGCCCGTTCTACAAAGCCGCAGGTCAGGAAATCAATGTAATTCGTGGTCAAAAAGTTGAAAACGCTGTCAATGCTATTTCTAATCACACTGACAAAATTACCAAACAACTGGAAAGATTGCAACCTTCCTTATTTCTAAAGAAAAATACGAACAAACGGGTAATTTTTCATGAAGTTTTAAAACTAGTTTATTATTTTTTAAAAACCCAACTAAAACTTTGAAACGTAAAAGCCTCAACGTGCAACTGTGAACAGGAGGGCCTCCGGGGTCGCTCCTCCGGTCTAACCCTATCGGCCAAACACCGTAAATCAAAACGCATCAGTTTCTGGAGCCTGTAAAGCTTCGAGCACAGGTCCTGAGAGTGGATGTGCTGGCCAGGGCTTCGTAAAGAACCGACCCCCAAGTCCTTCCAGGGCTTTCCAGATGGACTCGGTTCGGCTCAGCACCCCAAGATCGCACTTTTGCCTCTGAGTGGCAAATGACACTGATTTCCCGTAACCGGCATCTCTGGCGGCCTCAACACCCTCAAAACCACTCTCCGCTCGCCTCTCTCGCGGATGCAAACTCCGGCAAAACGTGCGGGACGGCCCGAGGCGCTGCGGGACTCCCGCCGCCCGCGGACCACTTCATTCTCTGTACGGGGGCCGATGGGTGGGAGAGAGGCTGCGGAGCTCAGCAGAGGGGCCGACGGTGAAGCCGCCGCCGCGCCCGCCGGCCTTTCACAGAGGACGCCGCGCCCAGCTCTGCTCCGAGGCTGCGAGGGCGGAGCCGGGGGTCCGGGGCTGGGGGGCGGCCGCCGGCGCGGGGATCCCGGGGCGCGCGCCCGGGCCGAGAAAGCGGCGTGCGGGGGCCGCGTGGGACCCCGACCCCCTCTCTCTCAGGCGGCCACCCAGACCTCCGGCGCCCTGCGCCCCAGGCCCACCTTTGATGCCGGCCATGGCGGTGACGTCGCTCCTGGCTCCAGGACCTGAAGCGGCGGCGGCGGCGGCGGCCGGGAGACCGGAGACGCGCGGCGGCGGCGGCCAGACAACACCCGGAAGTGCGCGACGCAGCACTTCCGCCGGCAACTCGCGCTCGCGCGGGGGCGCGGGGGGCGCGCCGGGCTGGGGGAGGTCGGGCTGACCCCTCCTTCCCTGCTGTGGGGAAGGAGCAGTGGGGCTCGCCGCTGTCGCAGGCGTACCGTCGTCGCCTCGGTTCGGGGCCCATATTCCCCTCAGGCTCGGGAAAGCTCTACACTGAAGCCCCCGTCGCGGATCCCGCAACCTCTCACATTCTTGGAGGATGAGGGAACGGAAGTAGCGCCGTCCTTTGGGAAGCATGGGTGGGGGGGGACTGTCTTTGAAGGATCATGTTATGTTCTTTAAAGCGCACCCTTTTCTCTCTTGTCCCTTGCCTTGGAGTGGGAGAAATAAGGCTAATTGGATCATCTGCCCTTGGCTCCCCGATTTCCGACGCAACTAGGGCTCTGGTGAGACCCACCTCCGGAGATAAAGAGCAGCGGGACCCACTAATTAGAAGTAAAATTTAAATACAAATCCGATCTCTTTGGGAGTCTGTGAGGACGCTGTTTTTGTTTTTGGTAGTAGCAGGGCTAGAGGGAAAAAGGAGAAAGCAGGATGACTTGTTTAAGTCATCCTACAAATTTATTGAACATGTACTATGTGTGGGGAACAGGGCTAGGCACTGCGGTGAGCGTAACTAGGTGCGGTTTCTGGCCTGAAGGAGCTTGCAGTTTCTAGAGAGACACAGAAAAGAAGTGAAAAAAAAAAAAAAAAAGTAAAATTGTGACTGATAATTGCTAGGAAGATGGGTAGATAGTCCTCTGAAAGCCTTTATTTAGATCAGAGAGATTTCCCCCGAGGGAGGGACGATGGAAGCCTGAACGGGTGCATAACTAGAAGACAAAAGGGAAAAACCGTTATGGAGAAGAGAGAATATGTTGGGGTGCAGGTTGGGGGAGTGGTTGGATGGTGAGCTTGGGAGGCAAACTGGGCCCCAGGAGCCTGGTCTGTTGAAGAGAGAAAAGGCCAGTGAGACTCCTCTAGGTCAGGGTAGGACAGCAGAGTCCTATGTTAGGAGATTCTACCCCCCCCCCCCCCCAGCAATAGGAATCTTTTGAAGGTTTTTTTTTTTTTTAATGTTTATTTTTCCGAGAGATAGTGTGAGGGGGGAGGGGCAGAGAAAGAGGGAGGCACAGAACCTGAAGCAGGATCCAGGCTTGAGCTGTCAGCACAGAGCCCAACTCCAGATGATTGTGGGGCTCCAACCCGGGAGCCATGAGATCATGACCTCAGCTGAAGTCAGATGCTGAAGGGACTGAGCCACCCAGGTGTCCTTTTTGAGGGTTTTTTTTAAAGGTACAGGTGGAGGTGCTTGACACAAGTTTGGAATTTTTCATTCTTTTCAATCACTGGAGTAAGAAAAACTGGCATGTAAAACTTTGTTCAGTGAATAAAGAGATGTTCCCAAAATGCTTTAAGATGAGAGGTACTGGGAGCTAAAGTATTGCTCTGCCCTGCTTCTCTCCATTACTTTCAGGATTGAATTATAATTTTTTAAAAAACAGGTCACTTGAGGCTTAATGTCCCCCAATAAATCTGTAGATATCTTATGGAACCGTAGATTTTTTTCTATTCAAGTTAGTGCAAAAAATTCTGGCGTCTTCTGTATCCTGAGGAGTTTCCATTTAAGGATTGTAGGAGCAAAAACACAAGGCACACTTGGAGCATACGCTATGGACATGTTGCTGTCCTGACAGTCTGTGAACCACCCGCTCCCTTCTCTAAACTGAAGCAGGTGTATGGGTCCTCCTCCCCAAGCATGTTGAAAGGAGTAAGTAAAATTCCTGGAGAAGTAAAGGATTCCATCCCAAGTAGTCATCGTTACCACTTTTCTTGTTTCGTTCCACAGTATTCATCCTTGAAAGCAGAGTGGTTGAGCGAACAGAGTAGATGGCTGATCAGTGGTGGTGGTATTGGTGGTGGTGGAAGTAATAGGTTCTTCTCTCATAGACTCCTAGCTTCTGGGGGAAAGACCACATTTTAGGAAGCCTTTCTTGGCCTTCCACAAGCCCCAGTAGCTGAGTTAAGGGATAGTCCCCTAATATTCTCTTGTGAGTATAAATAAATGGGTTGGTGATTGCAAATATTCATCCTTGCTGACATTAACAGACAACTAGGACTGTTCTTCACGTTAGAAGGATCTATGTTCTTTTGCTTCCATGGTCACAGAATCCTATGAGATTGTGTTCCTTTGATTCTTCCATGAGATCCACAGTGTTACGAGCAAGAAAAGACTCACTGCCCTAAGGACTATTTTTGATCTACCAATGTTGTCTAGAGGCACTTGAGACCCTAACAACAGTGTTTCCGCATATATTTCATTTTTTAAAATATATTTTTTTATTTATTTTTAGGAGAGAGAGAGAGAGAGAGACAGCGTGAGCAGGGGAGGGTCAGAGAGAGAGGGAGACACAGACTCCGAAATAGGCTCCAGGCTCTGAGCCGGCAGTCAGCACAGAGCCCGATGTGGGGCTCGAACCCACGAACCGCGAGATCATGAACTAAGCGAAACTTGGACGCTTAACTGACTAATCCTCCCAGGCGCCCCTCCGCATATATTTCAAAGACTACCTGCGACAGAATTCTTTGGGATGCTTCCTAAACATGCCAATTCATGGGACAGAGCCCGGGAATCTGAAATTTTATCAGGCACCCTAAAGATTTTCTAAGAAAATGAAAGCTTGAAAATAATTGTCTGAAAAAGGTAGAATGTCAGGGGTTTTCTTAATCAGTTTGCCAAGTGAATCCTAAACATTAGTTAATATTATATCCCTTAAATGTTCTCTACATGTCCTTACAAAACAGTTCATCTGTGTTACCTTACATAGTTTCAAAACTTACTCAGGTGGCTTCTGACCCTCTAAATTTGACTCACAAAGACTTGGAGGGGGTGAGAGGAAGAGAGAGAGAGCTGTTGTTTGTTGAGCAGCCGTTATGTGCCTGGTGCTTTAAATATGTGATTTCATCCTCTCCACAGTTTTATAAATTTGGAATTACTAACTTTTACAGATCGAGTCAGAAATTTTAAGGAAGTCTTTAGGTTTTGTTGTTGTTGTTAATGTTTTTTATTTATTTTGAGGGCACGAGAGTGGGAAAGGGGGAGAGGGAGAGAGAGAGAGAGAGAGAAAGAGAGAGAGACAGTCCAACGCAGGTCTCCATCCCAAGACCATGAGATCATGACGTGAGCCGAAATCAAGGGTTGGACGCTTAGCCAACTGAGCCAGCCAGTTTTAGTTTTTAAAAAATGTTATTATGGGGGCGTCCAGGTGGTTCAGTTGGTTGACTGTCTGACTTCAGCTCAGGTCATGATCTCCCGGTTTGTGAGTTTGAGCCCCACGTCAGGCCCTGTGCTGACAGCTTGGAGCCTGGAGCCTGCTTCAGATTCTGTGTCTCCCTCTCTCTCTGCCCCTCCCCTGCTCATGCTCTCTCTCTCTCTCTCTTTTTCTCTCAAAAATAAATAAAATCACTAAAGACATTAAAAATGTTATTATGGAAAAATTAAATATATAAAGTGGTCAGAATAGTATAATGAATTCCCTGTACCATCAACTACCTGCAAAAATGAGCATATGGTCAATGTTGTCTTGTCTATACTCTCAATCCTCTTTCCCCTATACCTCCTACATTATTTTCCCCAAATTATTTTGAAGAATATTCCAGACATGGTTTCATCTTTAATGTTTTAATATGCTTCTAAAAGTATCATTAAAAATGGCATAACCACAGTATGTTTATCAAACCTAAAAAACCAATTTTTTAACGTCATGTACATAGTCAGTGTTCAAATTTCCAACTGTCTCATAATTGTCATTTATTTTATACTTTGTTTGAATCAGGACCCAACTCAGGTCTACACATTCCTATTGCTGTGTCTCAGAGATGATTTAAGAAACTACCTCTTATCATTTCGATCTCAGCTCAAAAGGTAGCTTCTCAGAACTCTTCCTGGACATTCTTATTTATTATAGCACTTCACGTTATCTTCTTCTGTTTTCTTCTCTTTTTTAAAAATTGAAATGTAATTAACACGAGATGTACAACATCTTGGTTCAACAATTCTATACTCAGTGTTCACCATGATGGGTGTGGTGACTATTTGCTACTAAACAACATATTACAATATTATTGACTATATTTCCTATGCTGTATTCTTCATTTCTGTGACTTTAATTTTATAACCTGAAACGTTTTAATCCTTCTTATTTCACCCATCCGCCCAGTCACCTTCCCGCTGGCAACCATCATTTTGTTTTCTGTATTTAAGTCTGGTTTTGTGTGTATATGTGTGTGTGTATTACTCTGTTTCGTTCTCGAATGCACTTATTATTTACCTGAACTATATATTACTTGTTGTTTGTCTCTGCAACCAGAATGTGAGTTAGTACAACTTTAATGTTTTGTTCACTCCTCTCTAGAACTGTACATGGCAAATGCTGTGATCTCAAATGACAGCAATTCTCTTGTCAAGGTAATTCATGACCTCTACATTGCAAAATCCAAACATTGCTTTTTGCTTCAAGCTTTCAACAACAGTAGATACTGGTGATCTTTCTCTTTTTCTCACCTACCATATTGCTATTCTCCAAGCTTTTCTCATATCTCACCAGAGGCTACTTTTCAGACTCTTTCTAGGATCTTCTTCTGCCTGAAGTTCAAATGATAGTGTTCTATTTTTTTTCAAATTTCTTTTTTAATGTTTATTATTATTGAGACAGAGAGAAACACAGCATGAGTGGGGGAGGGTCAGAGAGAGACACACACACACACAGAATCTGAAACAGGCTTCAGGCTCTGAGTTGTCAGCACAGAGCCCTATGCGGGGCTCGAACCCACGAACCGTGACATCATGACCTGAGCCAAGTCGGGCGCTCAACCGACTGAGCGTCCCGATAGTGTTCTCTTAGTTTTAATCCTGAGCCTCCTTCTTTGTCATATCTAAATTCTCTTCTGATGCATTATACCTTTTCCCGTGACAATAAATACCATCTTCATTTTGATAACACAACTACCAAGTTTACTTTAGCTCTGAAATGCAGAGTTGTATATTCAAGTGTCTGTTGGACATGTCTATCTGGATGCTTATAGACATTGCAAACTTAACATGTTCAGAACAGAATTTTCTATTATCTTTATTATTCCAGTCTCTGTCTTGCTCTAAGCCCCCACTGTTCTGCCTCCTCCTGTTCTACTTGACCCCTAATTTACTTTGCTTCAGTTATAATGAACTTGTTTGCCTCTTCTGCCCCGAGTTTTGTTTTATTCACTATTGTATCCCCAGTGCCTAGAACAGTGCCTGATAGGTCCTGTTACGTACTGGTGGATGCTCAGTATATAAAGTTATTGGTTGAATTCACGACTGTTCCTCAAAACAAAAAGCTAGGGCTTGTGCATCCACTGTTCCCTAAGCCCTGAAGGACCTTTCCCCGACCCTTGTATGGCTGGTTCTTTCAAGTCTCAAACTTCAAAATCACTTCCGTAGAAAGGAAATGCCTCCCTAAAGTCACCTCTGTCTCTATTGTAACATCCTGTGTTACTTTCACCAATGCATTTAACACTGCCTATTATCTTTGTTTACTAATAATGTAATGCTGTTTGTCCTGTCCCACTTCAGTGTAAGGTCCATGAGTACGGGGACTTTGCCTGTATCCTCCATGCCTAAAATAGTGCCTGGCATTTGTTGAATGAATGAATGAATGAGAGAAATCTAGGCCTGTCAGACCTCAAAGATAATACTCCTGCACTCTTAGAACGGTTTTCTCTGACTGGTTCTTTAGGTAGTAGTTTCTTCTTCTGATATTTTGTAAATTCCTACTGCCTCCACGTACAAGAAAATAGGTAGAGGCTCTGAGCTTCTGAACCAGAACAACATATTTCCATGCTACGTTTCACCCCAATCTTAGCAAACCAGTGGGACGCGAGTCACGTGCCAGGCTCCATGTTAGGTGCTGGGGATAAAGTTTTCTAGTGCACAGCCATTTCCCTCAGGAAGTTTACGAAGGTTTCGGAAATGTATAACCTAACTGCACTTAGATTTCGCGTTGGTTTCAACCCCTCTAACCGCTGCACCCTCGCGCGGAATCTTGCGGAGCTGCAGACCAAACGCAACAGGGAGGGTCCGGATTTCGGTACCGCCCACAGCATCCTGCGCCCCGCCCAGGGCTCGGCCCCCTGCAACCCTGTTCTTCCCTTGGCCCCGCCTCCAGCCGCTCTAAGCCTTAGGGGCGGGGCCCGCGGCGTTTACTCGTGTTCTAACGCGCGACGCAGTGGCAGTGACGTAACACTTGCGCACCGATCGTCGCTGCGGCTCTGCAGACAGACCTTCCCTTCGCCGCCGTCCCTGTCGTCGCGCAGCGGCGCGCGGACTTCCGCAGCTCCGATTCCGGCCTTTGAGCGCCTGGCAGCCGTCCGCTCTCTTCACCCGAGCCATGGCCGCAGCCGGCGGGCCGGAAGCTGCTGGACGCTCTCTCCTTCCCAGCCTCCTCTTGCTTCTGCTGATCACTGGCCCCGCCCTCGGCTGGAACGACCCTGGTGAGTGCCGTCCTCACCCGCCCCTTTATTTTGAAAGCAGCCAGCGCCCAGAGGCCCAACAGGCGACCATTTCCGTTCGCCGCCGCCTGGGCCTTTCTATCCTAGTTTCTCATTTCCATCTTCTTCCCTAGTCATCAGCGTCCTACCTGGCTTTTTTGCTTTTCCCAGAAGTCTTGCGGGACAAGTGAGGACAGTTGGGAAGTGGGCGGGGCGGGACGACTCTGTATATTTAAGGTCCTCTCTCTCCCTTCCCTGGACTCCGAGAATTTGTCTACCTTCTGCTTCCTCGGACGACAGCCCTCCTCCCTAAGACTAACTGGAAAGCTCCATTCTCCCCTGCTCATTTTTCTTTGTTGTCATGACTGTCTGATGTCATCTTGGCTGCCTGTTGTCATGGCTGCCTGTTGCTATGGCTGACAGTTGGCACAGCACCGGCAGTCTGTGAGTCACACTTAGTGGACAGGGATATAAACCTTGCAGGCAGGTTAGCAGAATCACAGACATGTGAGCAAAACTCATGCTTCTTATTCTGATCACTACAGTTAAGTTCATTTCGTTACGTCAGCTTTTCCCATTGTTTTTCACCGAACACTAGAATTTAAAAGACATTATTATTTTGTGTGTGTGATGGTACATGATGGCACATGTGTTATTAGAATTTCTAATTTCTATTAGAATTTTCTGAAGAATTTTTGTGGGATAAATAATATTCTGTGTAATATATACATAAACATAGATTTCCATTTAATGATGCGTGCTGTTAAATTGGAATTATGTAAGAAATAATTTTTAAACAGTTAAAGCATCGTTTTTGGTTTGGGGAATGAAGATGTTAAGGTATTTAAAGTTTCAATATTGCATTTGTGACTTGGGTGATAGGAAATGCCTGTTTCTTAAGCAACAGATTTATTTCTGTAATTTCCTATTTTATTCCTAAATGCTAAAATGAGAAAGAAGGTGCTTGACTTTGAGTAACTCATTTGAATGTGGATGTTTTATTAGTAATAAAAGCCAAGTTGGGTTTAAATGTCCATGTAATTTCCTTATGTATTCCTGGAAAGTTGTATATAAAGGTGACACTTTGGTCAGAATTACAATTTAAAAACCAGATTGAAACAGTTGAATCTTCAATTCTTAAGTAAAAAAAAGGAAGTTTACAGATGAAGAATCAGGGGAATTAAAAAAAAGGAACCAAATTTAAATTAATGGTGAACTGCTTCTTGGAAATCTTAGTCTCCGTTCTCTATAAACTATTGTTCTGGAACAAAAAGCACCAAAATATTTTGCAGAGTAAACACAATTGATATTTATAAATCCTAGTTTACCTTAAATTTATTTTGAGGAACTGTTTTATGACAGCATTTTACTGGGTTAAGTTTTATCAAGCCCTTTATTAAAGCAATAATCACTCCCGCATTTTGTATTAATTTTTTTTTGGCTTTGGATGTACTTACTTTGTCTTTAGCTAACATAGAGCAGTGATTTGTCTGGAAAAAAATTGTATACCCATTCTAAAGAGATTACCTAAGACTTTTCAAAATTCTTTATGGAATTATTTTATATTTAAGTCACTTTTCTGGGTGTTGGGAATATAGCAGTTAACAAAACTGAGTGTCTTGGGGCTCCTGGGTGGCACAGTTGGTTAAGTGTCCAACTTTGGCTCGGGATGATTTCATGGTTCCTGGGTTCGAGCCCCGCGTCTGGCTCTGTGCTAACAGCTAGCTCAGAGCCTGGAGCCTGCTTCAGATCTTGTGTCTCCCTCTCTCTCTCCCCTCCCCCGCTTGCTCTCTGTCTCTCAAAATAAAGACATAAAAAAATTTAACAAAACAAAACTGAGTGTCTTGACCCCAGGGAGTTTACATCTGTTGACAAGAAATAGACAGTAGAGAAACTGGTAAGTAGCATGTCATATGGTGAAAAGTGGATTGGACAATGATAACACAGGGGAAAGAAGGTAGAAGTGGGATTTTCAAAATATGCATTGGTCAGGGAAGAAGCCACTGTTAAGGTGACATTTGATCAGAAACCTGAAGGGAGAAGAAGCATAAATGACCTGCTATGAGTTGTATTTTCAAGGTGAATTCTGTCTGTTCTGTGGAGAACAGACTGTAGGGGGTCCAGGGAAGCTGGGAGGCCAGTGAAGAGGCTGCTGGTACAGTGAGTTTCAGGAGTAGTGATGGTTTGGCCAGGGGAGAGCAGTGGAGTTGGTGAGAGTGGTTGGATTCTTACCTATTTAGAAGGTGGAGCTGACATGATATTTTGATGGATTAGATGTAGGGGTGGGAGGAGAAGATGAGGTTTTTTGCCTGAGTGGCTAGGAGCGTGGACTTACCATTTCCTGAGATGTGGAAGATTGTGGGAGAAGCATGTTTGGGGGACTTTGGTTTTGTTCATCTTAAATTTGAGACCTGTAAGTGGATTTCGATTTGTGAGTCTGTGACCCTTGATGGGTATAACTAGTGGAGGATGGGTGTGAGCATTTTGTTCTTAGACCTTGTCTCAGTTCCGGCTGTTATAACAAAATACTATGATTGGGTGGCTTAACCAACAAGCATTTATTTCTTGTTTTCCGGAGGCTGGGAAGTTGAAGATCAGGGTTTGCAGAAGGCTGTTTTGTTGTTATGTCCTCACATGGCAGAGGAGAGAGCTCTGGTCTTTTCCTCTTCTTATAAGGATCTAATCCTATCATGAGGGGCTTCATCCTCAAGCCTTTATCTAAAACTAACACTTCCCAAAGGCCCTGCCTCCAAATATCATGACATTGGGATTAGGGCTTCAACATAGGAATTTTTAGTGCCACAAAACCTAGTGACCTTTAGGATGTCCAGGGAGGAAAGCTGCTGTAGGGTTATGGTAATAATACCTCATGTGTATATAGCTCCTTAAACATCTCAAAAATATTTATTGTACTTGATCATCTATTATGTATCAAGTACTTGGCTGGATAATTCTAGTAAATTATATCTAAGTTTCATAATCTATTTTAAGGTTGATAAATGTAAGCTTCAGGACCAGTTTTAAAGTTGATATTATCTTCTTAATTTTACAAGTGAGGAAATTTCTGTACAGATAAATTGACTTGGCCAAAGTCATATATAGTAAGTTGGTGATGGGAATTTAGTTCAGTGTCCTTTGCTTTATCTCAACCCTGCTACAATAATTTCAAGTTATTGTTATTCCTGTTACTTACTTTATTTTTAAAAATTTTTTATGTTATTTAGTTTAATAATGTCTTATGACTTTTTAAACAATTTTTAAGTGTTTTTATTTTAGAGAGAGAGCATGTGGAGTAGGGGAGAGGGGCCGAGGGAAAGAGAGAATCTCAAGCAAGCTCCATACTCAGCACAGAGCTTGACACAGGGTTTGATTCCACGACCCTGGGATCATGACCTGGGCCGAAATCAAGAGTTGGATGCTCAACTGCTTGGGCCACCCAGGTGCCCCACCTTATGACTTTTTAAACCATTGAATACTTTCATTGTTACAGTTTTTATGTATGAGGTGATAGTTTGGGGTTAATATAGCATATTTTATTTTAATATGATTCTTGGAAATTTTAGTCCATATGGAATTAAGTTTTTATATAGCTGTAGGTAGAGTTTCTTCTAGCTGCAGTAGTCAGTTATGTTGGTGTCATTTAAGGAAGGCTTTTTTTTTTTTTTACTAAATTAGAAAGCCCACTTTATCTTATATTGAATTCCCACATGTATCTGGATTTATTTCTAAAAAAAATTTTTTTTTTAATGTTTATTCAGTTTTGAGAGAGAGAGTGTGAGCAGGGGAGGGGCAGAGAGAGAGGGAGACACAGAGTCTGAAGCCGTTTCCAGGTTCTGAGCTGTCAGCACAGAGCCTGAGGCTAGGCTTGAACCCATGAACTGGGAGGTCGTGACCTGAGCTGAAGTTGGATGCTTAACCAACTTGAGCCACCCAGGCACCCCTGGGAATGATATTTTAAATTTTAATGGCAGGTAATCAATCTTTGTATATTCCTTGTTTCCTTTCAACTCCATATTTAAGGTTGAAATATTTCTATGTGATTTTAGGCATCATGACAGGCCACCACTAAATCCTTCAATATGCTCCTCCCCTTTTTTAAAAGGAACTTTTACCCGTAAGGTAAAAGTAACATTAACCCCTGACAAAATTAATATTAATTTCTTAATGTCAACTAATTATCTATCCCATATCAGATATCACATTTGTGCCTAATATGTCTAAACTGGTTGATTCATTCCAAGACCCAGTCCAGGTCTGTGCATCACCTTTGATTTTATTCTCCTTTAAGTCTGTTTAAATGTAGAAATCCTTTTTTTATGCTGTTGCTTTGCTGAAGGGCTTGGGCCTGTTGTCCTTTATTTGGAATATCCTACCTTCTGGATTGTTTTTTTTGTGGCATTGTTTTAGCTTACTTTTTTCCTTCCCTGTATTTCTTGGAGACTGAATGGTAAGTCCGAAGGATTGATAAAATTCATGTTAAATACTTTCAGGGATTACATCGTAGTGGATGGTATATCAGTTTGTTCTACCATTATTGATGCTAAGATTAACTAGTGGATTAAAAATGGTTTTATTTCTTCCTTGTGAAGTTATATTTTTCCAGAAAGCTCTCTGTGTAATGTTACTTAGCCCCATATCAATATCTGATCTCTTAATGATTTTAAAACACATAAATCCTTGTCTGAATCTGTTTCTTTAGGGGTTATAAAGTGATGATTTTTTTTCCAATTCTGTCATTTCATTTGCATTTATTAGCTGTCATTCTTCAGTAAAGTTGAGATTTCCATTATCACCTGAGGCTATTTCAGGTTATAGTTCCTGATAGAAAGTCAGAATAAAAATTTAATTTTTAATCTTTAATTGCCAATTTTCAGGAAAAAGGAGGTAGGTAGCAACTTTTAGTGAAAAATGCGTTTTTTGCATTCTTTTTGAGCATTATTATGGATTTTGGATTTTTATAGATCGAACATAACTTGATCAATTGCAGTCTTTATCTTGCTGCTCAGTCTTTTGCTTTTGGTGTCTTAAGATTTCCCCATACCAGGATCATAAACATTTTCTTTGAGTTTTGTACATTTTTGTTGTATGTTTTATGGTGTAAGTTTTAGCCATTGTGGATTAACTTTTGTCCATCGTATACAGTGATCAATTTTTCTAATCCTGTGCCGGTACTGTACTGTTTATGCTACTACAGATTTAATAATATATTTCAATATATATAGTTCAAATTTCCTTTCTTTGTTGTTACTGGTATTCAGCTGTCTTTTCATTATTGATTTTATATGTTAGTATATATTTTATGTTATTATATTTCTTTCTTTTAAGTTTATTTATTTTGAGAGAGCGAGCGAGCATGCACCAGTGGGGGAGGGGCAGAGAGCGAGGGAGAGAGAAATCCCAAGCAGACTCCGTACTGTCAGCAGGGAGCCAGACTCAGGGCTCTATTCCACTAACTGTGAGATAATGACCTGAGCAGAAATCAAGAGTTGGACACCCGACCAACTGAGCCACCAGGAGCCCTGTATCATTATATTTCTAATTTTATTGCATTTTGGTGAGAGAGTGGCTGATAAATTTCAGTTTAGTCGCATTTATTAAGTTCTTTTTTTGGTAAATCGGTATAAATGAGATCTGTATCTGCTGATATGAGGGAATGCCCATGATGTATGATGTATGATGTATGTATGTAAGTGGAAAAACCATGTGAAGAATAATGTGGACTCTACGTTTCATTTTTTTATAAAAAATAAACTAACAATCAAAACAACCCCTGTATCTGTGTCTGGGTAAGCAAGTAAAAAGTACTTACCAGATTGTTAATTTGGGTTATCACAGAAATGTAAAATTGGAGGAAGAGTGGGTTTCACTATATTAAAAAATTATGAAGTATATCATATATAAAGATGAATAAATAAAACATACATGAATAGTTTAAAGAAGAAAAACTGAACATCATTGTAGCCCCATTTAGTTAAGAGAAAGAAAAGAGAATTCTGCATAATCCTTTCTAGGCACATTTCCTTTCCTGGAGGTAGCTACTTTCCTGATTTTTTTTTTTTTAAATGTTTTATTTATTTCTAGGAGAGAGAGAGACAGCGTGAGCAGGGGAAGGTCAGAGAGAGAGGGAGTCACAGACTGAAACAGGCTCCAGGCTCTGAGCTGGCAGTCAGCACAGAGCCCGACGCGGGGCTCGAACCCACGAACCGCGAGATCATGACCTAAGCGAAAGTCGGACGCTTAACCGACTAAGCCACCCAGGCGCCCCACTTTCCTGATTTTTGAATGAATACTTTTTTTACTTCAGTTTTTCTACTCATGTATGGGGTAAGACCCTAAAAGTTTTTAAAAAACTGACTAGCTCATTTCTTAGCGGTGTAAAAAAAAAAAAAAAAAAAAAAAGGCCTATGGCTTCAGGTTTCCTGAGATTTTAAGCACCCTTTCTGGGGAAATCACTGGGGAAAGTCATGGGAAACATAGGACTTCCTATAATTAAGGTATCTGCCAAAGACTGTAATGGTCCGATTTTGAACATTGGACAGAAATATGGTCAGAAGGAGTAGGTTGCTTTAGATCTTTCACTTCTAAGCTTCCCATGGTCTATCTGTTGCACTTAGGAATAGGGTAAAACCAGCTGATCCCAGTTACCAGGACATGGTGGGGAAGAGAAGGAACTTCATCAGCTGGAGGCCAAGACAGACCAAATACGGATAAAAACCAAAGCAAGGTTCACCTGGACATTTCTTTCCTTAGGTTTGAAAGAGATGGTATGGTAGCAGCAGGGAATTTTGCTGGCAGCCCTCATATGTCTTTTGAGCAGTACTCTTCCAGTGTGGACTTGGTGTCCTCTGCCTGGCCGTGGTTGTCCTATTCCTGTCTTCATTCATCACTCTCCTTGGGATTCCCTTTGTCCCTTTGTATGCCATTACTTTTTCTTTAGTCCTCTGGTTTTTATGTCTTTCTCTTTGTTTTGTTTTTTTCTCTTGGTGGTGACTATCTTTCATTATCTTACTGAGAATTGATACCTGGGAGGTAAATATTTTGAAACCTTTCAGATGTCTGAAAATTTCACCTCTTGGTTGAGTGACAATCTAGAATTCTATACCTACTTACTTTTGGAAGGATTTTCTATGACAAGTGTTTTATTAGGATGACCTTTTCTGTGTTTGACAGGATATTTACTACCTGTTCGTCTGTGTTCTTCATGTTTCAGACAGAATATTATTGCGGGATGTAAAAGCCCTTACTCTCTACCACGACCGCTATACTACCTCCCGTAGGCTGGATCCGATTCCACAGTTGAAATGTGTTGGAGGCACAGCTGGATGTGATTCTTATACCCCAAAAGTCATACAGTGTCAGAACAAAGGTTGGGATGGTTATGATGTACAGGTAATATTCATTATGTTGATGGCAGTCTAGTTGGAACTAGTGTAGTTTTTTTATTCAATAAAGTGTTTATTGGGATATTATTCAGTGTTTTTGGGAAGTGCATGTAGAAAATCTCAAGTTAAATATATAAATAAAAATCACTTATTTTCTGGAAAGACATCCTCCAAAGAAAACTGATTTTAAAGCTTGGAAATACTCATTGTAATTTTCATGCCATAAATTTCTCCTGAGACATTAGTAAATTTTCAAAACTTTATATATTTGAGATGGGGGTAGAGAATCTCTGCTGGTTATCATTTTACTGTCATTCCTCAAAAAATACCAACCTACTTTTGGGAAATAATGTTAATATGATCAAGAATTGTAGACTGTTAGGAATGTAGAATGGTACAGGTGCTTTAGAAAACTGCCTGGCGGTTCTTCATGACATGGAGTTACCGAGTCATTCCACTTCTAGGTATATGCCCAAAAGAATTAAAAACATGTGTCCACACAAAAATGTGTGCATAAATGGTTGTAGCAGTGTTATATATAATAGCCAAAAAGTAGAAACATCCTAAATGTCCGTCTTTGATGAATGAGTAAAGAAAATGTGGTAGAGCCATACAATGGAATATTATTGAGCCATAAAAAAAAATGACATAGAGATACATGCTACACTATGTGTGAAAACATGATGCTAGGTGAAAGAAGCTAGTCACATATTGTCTGATTGCATTCATATGAAACATCCAAGATAGAGAAATCCATGGAGACAGGTTGGTAGTTGCTGAGGGCTGGGAAATTTGGGGAGGAAGTAAGGAGTGATTGCTAATGGAGATGAGATTTCTTTTTGCAGTGGTGAAAATATACTGAAATTGATTGTGGCAATGGTTGCACAACTACGAATACACTAAAAACCATCAAAATGGGTGAAGGTATGATATAGGAGTCATAGCTCAATAATGCTGGTATAAAAAAAATAGCATATCTGAAATTTGAGAGAGGAAGGTAATTTGGCCAAAAACTTACAGAAAGGCAGAACAAACCAGATCTATTTTAGCTTGTGTCTCTTTAAATGCAGCTAAAGAAGCATATTACCTATTTAGCTCAAAATATAATTATGGAATTTTTAAAAAAAATTTTTATGTTTTATTTCTGAGAGAGAGAGCGAGAGCAAGCGCATGAACAGGGGAGGGTCAGAGAGAGAGACAGAGAGTCTGAAACAGGCTCCAGGCTCTGAGTTAGCTGTCAGCACAGAGCCCGACGCAGGGCTCGAACCCACGAACTGTGAGATCATGACCTGAGCTGAAGTCGGACGCTTAACCGGCTGAGCCACCCAGGTGCCCCTAATTATGGAATTTAAACTAGGACTTTTTTTTAAGGGGGAAGTATTTGAGGCTAGTGTGAATTATTTTTGCATTTTTCTAAAGATCTTAAAATTTAAGAGACAGGTTGCCTGACTGTCTCAGTTGGTGGAGCATGTGATTCTTGATCTTGGGATTCTGAACACAGGCCCCACGATGGGCATTACTTAAAAAAAAAGTTTTTTAGTAGATTACTTACAGGATTGGATCCTGAAAAGTTAGTCCGTGCTATTATAACATTTTTATAGAAAGTTTCTGTTTTTTGTTTTAATTTTTTTTAATGTTTACATTTGAGAGAAACAGAGTTTGAGTTGGGCAGAGGCAGAGAGAGAGGCATAGAGTCTGAAGCAGGCTCCAGGCTCTGAGCTGTCAGCACAGAGCCTGACACATGGCTTGAATTCACGAATGGTGAGATCATGACCTGAGCCAAAGTTGGATGCTTAACTAACTGAGCCACCCAAGCTCCCCTGTGTGGAAAGTTTTTTCTACAAGGTTATGTACTATCTCTGATGCTATATGTAGTTACCAGATATTCATGTATGATGCTGATTTTTGAGACTTAACCTTTAAATAACTTTTTTATCTTATTTAAAAAAATTTTTAATGTTTTTTATTTCTGAGAGAGAGAGACAGCGTGAGCAGGGGAGGGTCAGAGAGAGAGGGAGGCACAGAAATCTGAAACGGTCTCTAAGCTCTGAGCTAGCTGTCAGCACATAGCCTGACACGGGACTCCAACCCACGAACTGTGAGATTATGACCTGAGCCGAAGTCGGACGCTTAACCGACTGAGCCACCCAGGTGCCCCTATTTTTAAAGTTTTTATTTATTTATTTTGAGAGGGAGAGAGAGGGAACGAACAGGGAAGGGGCAGAGAGAGAGAGAGAATCCCAAGCAGGCTCTCCATGGGGCTCCACATAGAATTTGAACCCACGAACTACAAGGTCATGACCTGAACTGAAATCAAGAGTTGGACACTTACCTGACTAAGCCACCCAGGTGTCCCAAGAACCTCTATTTTTAAAGTAAACATCTTGAATTACAGTAGCAAAGGTTGACATTTAAAATTTTGCTTAACAGTTATATAAATTGTGGAATGCTTAATATGTACAAAAGAATTCCTCATGTGTATGTGTAAGGAATAAGGAATAGTAATAAAACAAACACTCAGGTACCTCCAACCTACCTTTGAAGCCCTTAGGTTGCCTTCTCCCCAACACCGAAGTACTCATTGTTTTGAATTTTATCATTCCCCAGCTTCATTTTATATTGTTATGATAGCTGTATAACCCAAATAGTATTTATTTAAAAACATTTTGATTCTAATAATCTATTTCTGTTTTTTCTTCACAGTGGGAATGTAAGACTGATTTAGATATTGCATATAAATTTGGAAAAACTGTAGTGAGCTGTGAAGGCTATGAATCCTCCGAAGACCAGTATGTACTGAGAGGTTCCTGTGGCTTGGAGTATAACTTAGATTACACAGAACTTGGTCTGAAGAAATTGAGAGAGTCTGGAAAAAACTATGGCTTTAACTCTTTCTCTGATTATTATAACAAGCTGCACTCCTCAAATTCCTGTGGCATCAGTGGATTGATTACCATCGTAGTACTACTTGCTATTGCTTTTGGAGTTTATAAATTGTTTCTTAGTGATGGTCAGGATTCTCCTCCCCCGTATTCTGAGTATCCTCCATATTCCCATCATTATCAGAGATTCACCAACTCAGCAGGACCCCCTCCTGCAGGCTTTAAGTCTGACTTCACAGGTATGTTTCCCTAGGTAATGGCAATAAGTAAGGTCGATGTGAGGTAGTGAATCTTGTGCTGGTTTCTGAAATAGAAAATGGTGACATTGGGAGACCAAAACAGATTTGTCCTCTCATCTTTTCTTTTTCCAACTTCTTTTACCTATTTTTCTGTGTAAGGATAATTGTGACCACTATTTTAAGGTGGCAGGGTTAAGTTATAAATCATCTTAATCAGAAAAACTTGATCAGATTTGGCAATAAGCATTTACCTTGAAATCCATGTCATACCATACACAAAAATCTATTCATTAAATATAGATCTCAGCATAAAAGGTAAAACATAAGAAAATATTTGTCATGACCATGGGATGGGCAGAAATTGCTTTGGATACCAAAAGTTCCAGCCAAAAAGATAAGATGGATAAATTCGACTTTATTTAAATTGAGAATGTTTAGCCATCAAAGACAACATTAACAGAGTGAAAAGGCAAGCCACAGACTGGGAGAAAATATTTGTAAAACATTATTTTCAACACAGGGTGTGTATCTAGAATATGTAAAAAACTTTCCCACAAATCTAAGGAAAGACAGACAACCCAATTTTTAAAATGGACAGAGACTTGAATAGCCATTTTATAATAAAAGAAGATATCTAGATGTCCGGTAACAATATGAAAAGGTGCCTGACATCATTAGTCTTTAGGAAAATGCAGATTAAAACCACATTGAATTCATTATTAACCACCATAAGAGCTAATATTAAAAAGGCACAGTGCCAAGTAATGACAAGGATGGAATCCATTGAAACTTGATGGTAGGAGTTAAAATAGAAAACACTTGAGAAAACTGTCACTGTCTACTAGAATTAAACATTGGCCTCTCCTATGACCCAGCAGCTCCATTCCTTAATGCATATGTAAGAGAAATGCGTGTATTTGTACACAAAAAGATATGCATGGAATATTTATAATAGTTTTATTCACAACAGCCAAAAATTGGAAATAGAATGTCCATAAACAGAAGAATGGGACAAGTTGTGATTTTTTTTTTCACGCAATTTAATACTATAGATCGGTTTTAAAAAGCAAAACCAAAACCTGATGTGTGCATTGGGGGGTGGGGGGGGTTGATTCTCATAAACTTAATGATGTGCCAGACATGGAAGAGTACCTGATATATGATTATATTTAGAAGTTCAGGAATGGGTAAGACCAAAGTATAGTGAGAGAAGTTGGGGTAATGCTGATCTCCGTTGTGGGTGGTTATCTATTGGGAATTGTCATGAGGGAGCCTCCTGGGGTGCAAGAAATGTTTTGTTGATGTGGGTAGAGGTTACATGCACGGGGACATATGTACAAGTTTCTTATGCTGTACAAGTGAGATTAGGACACTTTATGTTATACTGATGTGTTATACTGAGTTATTAAAAAAAAAAAAACTTCATCTGAGCAGAAGGTACTTTTTTGGTCTAAGACCTGACTTCCCACTTGATACAAATATCTGGCTGCCTCCACTTGGATTCCTGCATTGGGCACCAAGGACAGCTATCATGTGATGCTTTCATAGATGTTCATAATGCCGAAAGGAAGGACCTCCGACAAGTGGGGTCATCTTGCAGTAGCTGATCCTGAGCAGGGCAAATGTGACTCTGCAGGAGGTAACCCCCCTCCCTTCTAAGATGCCTTTTTTTCATGTCTGTGGGAAAGGGACTTCTCAGTTATAAATCAGTATTTTGTGAATACACTATTTGACTACAGCTTGTTTACGAGTAGACGGCTGAGTATTAGCAATAGATAGTGCAGATGAAATAACTGAAATGTATTTTTTTTTTGGTGTTGTAGGCCATGTTTTGTTTGTATGAGGATATATAATGAATCATTTTTATTTCTAGGACCACATGGTGCAACTTCTGGTTTTGGCAGTGCTTTCACAGGACAAGGATACGGCAATTCAGGACCCGGGTTCTGGACTGGCTTGGGAACTGGAGGAATACTGGGGTATCTGTTTGGCAGCAATCGGTAGGTTTTGCATTGACCTTACTTGCACTTTAGTTCCACTTTTCTTTGGAAGCTTCTTTGTTTTGCTTGCAATTGGACTGGATTTGGTTTTGTTGAGGAAAATAAATTATGGTGACATTACCCTGTTAAATCAGTCTCTGCTGTATGGGCTTTCATCGATACTGTATATGTTATTTTCTTTCATTGTGTTTTTTCTTCCAATGTCGTCATCATGGATATTATGAGTTAGGAAAAAGACTGTCTTCTTAATGCCTGAGAAAATGAGAAGATAGGAAAGGGCATCGTGCTTGAGGAACAGTTAGCCGTCAGGTTTGGTAGGGGAATGGGGGACGCAAGGCTGGGCAGGGCTTGGAGCCAGATTTTGGGATGTCTTCAGTGTTATTGGTAGTTTAATTTTAGATTTTATCTGAGTGTGAGTTCTGAAAGAGTCTCCTTTCCTTGTCACTTCCCTGCCATGGCGATGACCATACAGTATCAGAAGAACAAAATAGTATCTATTTCATGTTATACTAGAACACTGAGGGAAAACACTTGATAAAGATTTTTTTTCTGAGAGTTTAGAAATAGGATATTTAAAACTGAAGTCACAAGAAAATTCCTGACACGCTTTTGTGTCTTCATAGAGCAGCAACACCCTTTTCTGACTCGTGGTATTACCCATCTCCTCCTCCATCCTCCAGCACATGGAACAGCCGCGCCTACTCACCACTTCGTGGAGCCTCAGGGAGCTATTCGGAGTATGCAGGCTCAGAGACGAGAACCAGAACAGCATCAGGTGAGAGCGAAAGCACAGAGTTTCTTATCATATGGCAGTAAAGTATAGAAATAGTTTTGGAACTTAAGAAGATAATTAACTGGGAGCACCTGGGTGGCTCAGTCAGTTAAGTGCCTGACTCTTGATTTCAGCTCAGGTCCTGATCTCGTGGTTTGTGAGTTTGAGCCCTGCATCGGGCTCTGCACTTATAGCACCGAGACTGCTTGAGATTCTGTCTTTCCCTCTCTCTCTGCTCTCGCACTGCCCCCTTCAATAAATAGGGGTGCCTGGGTGGCTCAGTCGGTTAAGCATCCGACTTCGGCTCAGGTCATGACCTCATGGTTCATGGGTTTGAGCCCCACGTCAGGCTCTGTGCTGACAACTTGGAGCCTGGAGCCTGTTTCAGATTCTGTGTCTCCCTCTCTCTCTGCCCTTGCCTGCTTGTGCTCTGTCTGTCTCTCTCTCAGAAATAAACAAACACTAAAAACAAATAAATAAACTTAAAAAATACATTAAAAATGATAATTAACTGTATATTGGTAATCATAGTTTTATTTAGCATACCCATTGGAAATATTAATAGCACAGTTAACTGAGGCAAAATATAGTTCAGATTCATTTTTTCCTCTCACTTCTAAACATTCTTTCACTTCCAGCATTAACCAACTGGGATTTGACCTTCAGCCTTCCTGAATATTGGTTTCTACATATGTTTAATTCTGTGACCTCTAGAGTTCTTCTTAAGCTCTAAAATGGAATTTTCTATTTATTGAATATTCAGCAGAACTCAAAAAAATATGTATTGATCTATACTTTAAATACTTGTCTAAAGTATGGTGGTAATGTTTATTCCTACTGTTAAGAGGAAATTTTGGAAAAAGTAAGGATATAATATAAAAAGTAAAAAAAAAAAACCACTATTTGTTTTTAAACATCCATCTAATTAGGAGACCATGGGAGGCAATGGGTCATGAAGTAGATTGCTGTGGAATGGATTTGTCTTCAGCAGGGGAAGTTCTAGAAGAGTGGTTAATTCTTGACATTGATAGAAAACTGTGTTTCTCATAGCACTGGTGTGAATTGGCATTACCTACTAAATTAACCAGGAGCATATACTCTAGACCCAGCGGTTTCACTCTCAGACAAACAGCAACGGAAGTGCACACATTCGTAAACTGAGAGATAAGTATGAGAATGCTCATAGCCTCTTTATTCCTTTTTTTTTTTTGGAGAAAGAGAGCATGTACACTCAAGAAGGGGAAGGTCAGAGAGAGAGGGAGAGAGAGAATCTTAAGCAGGCTCCGTGCCTAGTGTGGAGCTTGATCTCATGATTGTGAGATCATGATCTGAGCTGAAATCTGGTTGGATGCTTAACCAACTGAGCCACTCAGGCGCCCCACATCTTTACTCCTAATAGCCTCCAAGTGGAAGAAACCCACGTATCCAAGAGCAGTAAAGTATATGAATAAATGGAGTTATGGCCATATGATGGAATGCTGTGCAACAAGGAGAGGGAATAAATAGCTGTATGCAATAATGTGGATAGATCTACCAAATATAAAAAGAAAAGAAAGAAGTCGGACACAAAGGAATATATATAAATATGATTACAACATTCATAAATATATGTGTTTAAAAACAAGCAAAGCTAACCTATGGAGTTAGATGTCAAGGTAGTGGTTACTTTTGGGGAGAAAAAGGAGGAGGTAGTCATTGGGAGATTATATAAAAATATAGCTACATAGGACAAAACATGGTAATAGGATACTCATTCTCATTGGAAACAGAAATTGTAAAAAGACATAAATCTCAACTAGAAGTGTATGGGACTTATATGAAGAAAATCATTAAACATTAAATAACCTAAAGGAAAACCTGAAAGAACATGGACTTTCCAGATGGGAACACTTGTCATCTTACAACCTGTTAGCGCGTGTGCATGTACATGTGTGTGTGGGTAACGAAGTTAACATTTACCATTGAGAGCCTGAAACTTGCCCCCACATGGTTTCTTTTTGCCGCCGGAGATGTGACAGATGGCAGGGCTTGGCTGGCTCCGTTGGCTTCTCTGCCTTTTGGCTTAGACGTTGAGTATTGCCCATACCACATTGCCCTCATCACGGAAGCCATCTTTAGTTTCCTGTCTACAAGCGATTCGCAGCAGCATGTCTGAGTTTAATCAGCTCGATGCCCGGATGACTGGGAGGACTATTGTGCGGGGCAAAGCACCGTCTGCATAGCCTTGGTCCCCCCACTCCCTCCCTCCCGTCTCTCTCTCTTTCTCTCTCTCTCTCTCATTTGTTAACAATAGATGTATTACTGTTGTCATTTTATAAGCAATGCCAGTGCATTTTTGAAAACGAATATAAATTTTACTCTTCTCTTTTTAGGATATGGTGGTACCAGAAGACGATAAGAAAGTAAAAAGTGGAAGTCAAACATCGGATGCAAAATTTCTGACTTTTCATCAGTTTCTTAAAAAAAAAAGTGCTACCTGCTAACAACGGGGGAAAGGGGAATATGCAAAAGTTCTGTGGGTTTTTTGTCCTGTGATTACTTTTTGTGTTCTGTTACTTGAGACTAAGAGTTAATACATGAGAAAATGCTTATGTAGAGAATTATATGCCAGTGTAATATGTAGTTGTGTTTGATGGTTTCTGAAAGTGATGATTACTATGGAAAGCTGAAAATGTAGTTTCTAAAACCTGTGCTGCCATTAAGACTGAGGCTTTGTTACCATTAGACCTTGCGTACACAAAATGTCAATCTTACGTGGTTTTAGTGTATGAGTCATTACCTTATGAAAATGATAGTAATCTATTTGGTATTTACTGTTTGATGTTTGCTCTTCTTCAAATATTTAAACCAGGCTTTGGACTACCAATTACATTTATCTGTGTTCTGATCACTTTTGAGCTCAGGAGCTTTGAACCCTTCAGTGGTGGTGGGGTACTACTAAGTGAGAATGACCTTTTTTGGGAAAAGTAGAAAATAAATATCTAGAACGTTGTTGTGAATGATTGTGTGCCGATGAAAATGTTCGAAACTTCCATATTCATTTCTTGAGAAGTAAAGTTTAAATGTTTCAGCAAAGGTCTTTTAATAGCAGAAGCATGCCCTTCTCTGTGAATCTCCAGTGTTATAGCAGTCTGTTTCCGTCTTACATTAAAATGACAGGAAACATAAAAACAAAGGGTTTAATTCTTATTTTTTCTGCCAGCCTTGACACAAATTGGTGTTAACTTTTTGTATCCTTCTTCCCCAAGGAAAAGGGGTTCACACAGAAGCTGTCTCCCTGATTTCCCCTGGTAGTCTTGTCTTAGCCACCAGTCACTTGGTGTTTTCAAAAAAGGAATCAGAAATGGTGTAGAAGGAGGCCTCTGCTAAAAAATGGCTTAAAAAAAAAAAAAAGAAATCTGCAGGCCCCTTAGCTCTGAGAGATTACATCATTTGTCTCAGTTAAGTTCTGCAACCCAAGAGTCTCATTTTTACCTTTTAGGAACATTTAAAAACAAACCAGTGTTTATTCTTTAAAGTGTGATTTAGGGATTGGTCGAAAGGGTATTGTGAACAGCACTGCCCTTTCCTCTCATCAGTAAAACTTTATAGAAATCTTAATTCATGTCACAGAGGAAACAGTTTTTATTGAGGTAATTGCACTAAATCGTTACCCCATTTCCCCTTAGTAAAGGGAGATGGAATAAAAGGAAATCCAGCTTATTGCCTTTTTCTAAAATTAGTGTTTTGGGTTTTAATTTATTTTTTGCGACAGGGTTCGATAATCTTGAATTTAAGTCTGTTTTATTTGGATAACAAAGTGAAAAAAATTATTAATTTAAAACTGATCTGTGTATTAAATTTGCTTTTTTTTAACAAAGTGATTAAAAAAATTTTTTTAATGTTTATTTTTGAGAGAGAGAGACAGGATATGAGCAGGGGAGGGGAAGAGAGAGAGGGAGACACAGAATCTGAAGCAGGCTCCAGGCTCTGAACTGTCAGCACGGACCCCGATGCGGGGCTTGAACTCATGAGCTGTGAAATCATGACGTGAGCCGAAGTTGGATGCTTAACTGACTGAGCCACCCAGGTAACCCGATTTTTTTTTTTTTTTTAATTGAAATATAGTTGCCACACAATGTTATGTTAGCTTCAGGCCCAATTTCTATTTTTGGACACATTATTTCAGGTCATTGGAATTTTAAGAAAATAATGAGTGAATATCAATTGGTGACTTTATAGATTACTTTCAGGAGCACGAGGGGTGTATTTTTTTTTTATTAAAAGATTTTTTTTTTTTTTAAGTTTATTTCAAGAGAGCAGAGGAGGGACAGAGAGGGAGAGAGAGAATCCCAGGGAGGCTCTGTGCGATCAGTGCAGAGCCCAATGTGGGGCTTGAACTCACGAACTGTGAGCTAAAACCACAGGTGACCTGAGCTAAAACCAAGAGCCAGATGCTTAACTGAGCCACCCAGGCACCCACTGAGGGGTGTTCTTTGAGGCTCTTTCAAAGACTGCTTGGAGGGAAGGAAGGGAAAGAAACGGCGTATAGGGCTCAAGAGTCTCTGTCCCCAGCCCCCACTAGGGTGCTTCTCCTTTATTGTTGTATGTTTACATTTCTTTGTTACTTGTGGAAAAGATTCTGAGGTATCTCCACCAAAATCTAGGACAAAGAATAAAAGACAGTACAATTGGGTCTCATTAGTGGGTTGATGGCCCACAGTCGGGGATGGCACCAAGGGAAAGAAGGGTACTGAAGTTGGGAGCTTGGTGAGCCTGGTTGGGTGAGCATGAAGGAAAGGAGAGGTGAAGGGGAGCTTTACAGTTTTACTCACATGAGGGTTCAACAGAATTTCAGATATTAGGATGGGATAGTTTCATGAATGCTTTTCTCTAAAGCTGCTGATCTCTTGGGTTCTGACCCCTGTCCTCCAAGACTGGGTTAAATTTATCTACTGTTCTTCCATAATACGTTGTATACACTTTTACCATTGTCCTTAGTACATTTCATTGTGATTATCTCCAGTGTAGATCTTTCTACTACTCTGAGCTTTTTAGGAAAGAGGGCCAAATATTACTTCTTCCTACCCCTTTCAGCTAGGGCATGGCCATGTGACTAAATTCTGTCAATATTTCTGTCACATGTTCCCTCCAGGTCTTTGAAGAAAATGGCACAAAGACCTCAGGACAATTAAGAGATTATTCCCAGCAGTGATAGGGTAGTCAAAGATTTAGTGGAGGTATTGGTGAGGGTCTGGTGGTACTTCCTGGGTAACTATATTAACTGGGTAGGTGCTGTGGTATGTCTTGGCTGGGTTGTGTGCTGCTTGGATGCCCATGTCTGGAAACCTGCCTCTTCCTAAACCTGGTTTTCCAGGCTTCCGGTGGGTTTTTTGAGCTAGTTAATACAAATGCTAATAAATTCCTTTTCTGCTCAATTTAGTAGTCATTTTCTGTTGTTTGCTCCTAAGAACCTTGTATGTATGGTGAATCTCCTAAGATTCTTTAATTGTAAGCAACAGATACTGGATAATTGTAATAAAACATTGTGATTGATTCCCAACCCCTGTTCCTCCCTGTTGATTTGTTCTCTAAACCAGTGGTTCTCAAACCTGAAGCAGCATCAGAATCATTAGAGGGCTTTAAGTACAGATTGCTTGCCCTTACCCTCAGAGTTTGATTTAGTAAGTGTAAAGGTCAGTTTTATATGTCACCTTGGCTAGGTTATAATTAGCAGTTATTCAAACACTATTCAGGGTGTTGGTGTGAAGATATTTTGTAGATGTGATTAACATGTACAATTAGTCGACTTTTAAGTAAAAGAGATTATCCTTGGTGATATGGGTGGGCCCGATCCAGTCAGTTGAAAGGCCTTGGGAGCAGAACTAAGATTTCCTAGAAGAAATTCTGCCTGGATGGCAGCTGCCCTTCCTAATGGCTTTACTCTATGGACTTTGGACTTGCTTAACTAGCCCTAACAATCATGTTAGCCAATTCCTTCCAATGAAATCTCCATATACATCGCCTGCTGGTTATATTTCTCTGATTGAACCCAGAAGTGATTCTAAAGAAACAGAACCTTGAGGATGAGTTTTGAAAATTGGTTCTGGGCTTTCTGGAGTATGTTCTCTAATTTGATTAATTGAAAGACATTAATGACTGTATCCAGTGGTCAAGAGAGTACTAGCAGTTCATGGTGTGTTGTGGCAGTGGAGATACACAATGTACCACATTTTGGTAACACATAAAAAGCAAGATTCTGGATGACCTTCCCTTAGAACATTTTAGTCAAACAAGGAGTGTAAGGGGACTGGCTGGTTGCTCCTAACTGAGCTGGACAAAGTAGAAAAAGAAAATGATGAGCTCAGTGCTTCAAATTCCCAGTTGAAGCTTCACATTAATGACCTGAAAGGTTTCTTTTTGTATTTTCTCTGGAAGAAACCCTTACTTACTTAGCCACAGGACTGAGATTTCTGAAAACCAAACCCAGAGTCTCATCCTGCAAGTGGGTGAATTACAACACAAATGACTTCCCAACCTCAAGGAGTGTCTGCTGTTAAACTGAGAGGATTGAGTGGGAAAGAATGAGAGCCTGAGTAGTGGAATGGGGACGTATGGGAAGATCCCAATAAAGTTGGAGCCATTGACCCCCTGATGTCTGCTGATTCTTTCATAACAGCAGAAGTAGCCCTTCAACTCCTGTCTGAGAACCTTAGGCCTACTTTGCCCGAAACATCTGATAGGCTCTCTAGAGTTGTTCCTTGCAAGGTATTATGGATTCTCCTCAGGACTTTGCTTCTAGAACTTTGCTTCTAGAACTGCAAGTAGACTCCTGTCCCAGCAGGTACGGAGGGGTAAAGTACAAAGTATAATCTATAAGGTGCATCACACGCCAAAAGAATTGCATAATTTTTCCAATCTATACAGATGGAAATCTGGGGATGATGTGGGAATGGATCTTAGGGTTGTAGGATAATTGTGAAAAAATAGAAAGTTGAATCAGGCCAAATTTATTGATAATGGGTCCACTAAACAGATTCTGGATTCAGTATTTTAGTTCAAGGGATTTGAAAGGGCTCTAATGGTTTGGTTGGTTGGCTGAACATGGACTCAAAAGTGGCCCACACTAAAGTCAAAATGCCACAACTGCCTCAGTAGGTATATTGTAGAGGAAGGGATCTGAAGGCTTAATGGGACTGGAATGTTAGGGTGGATTTATCGTGTAAGACCTACTCACCCACTCTGGGAGAGTCCAGAGAAAGACACCTTTCAGAATTTTACTTTCAGAAATGAATTTGGGTTTGGGGCCCCCCATCCTTAAGCTCTGTGGTAGCTTTTTGTAGGTCAGAAAATGCAGTGGGAACTGCTTCCACAAACGGGTCCCTGAATGCAATGAGGTTAATGTGATCCCAGGATAGCAGGGGCCAAGTGGCAATACTAAGTTGCCAAAGGCAACAAGGTCTAGTTACAGTAATAAACAGCAGGGTCAGAGTAACAGTTAACTCACAGAGACTTAGGGTGTTGTTGATTATGGCATACCTAGAAGAGAAGTAGGTGGGCTGTCTACTAAATTCTTCCTGGATCTGTGTAAGTGGAAGGGTTCTAGACTGAATAGAAGCCTAACTCTGCTACATTGCCAAAATTTATATTCTTAATCTTTTCCCCAAAGACTTGTTTCCCCTGAAGGACCTATGGCTATTTACTAGGGAGACAATGCACTGGGGAAAGGGGATTACTGGATACTGTCTCTGAGTTGACACTAATTGCAGGAGGTCCAAAATGGGACTCTGGTCCACCAGCCAGAGCAGGGGTTCATGAAGGGCAGGTGATTAATGGAGTTTTAGCTTACATCTTCTCTCAGTGAGTCCTGGGGGGTCCCCAAATGTATGTATCCTATGATCATTTCCCCAGCTCTGGACCGCATAGCTGGAACAGACCTACTCAGTCATGGCAGAATCTCCACATTGGTTCCCTGACCTGTGGTGTGAGGAATGTTATGGTAAGAAAGACCCATGTGGAGGGTATAGAACTGCCTCTACCTACAAAATTGAAAACCAGTGGTGGCTACAATACGGACATGGGATTAAAGGGGCCGAGAGGATGTGTGGGGACCCCAGCTGGAAGGAAAAACATCGAAGTTAGAAATGACCCTGGCTAAGAATAGAGTGGAAATGAGGAAATGGAGGGACACAGAAAACCCCTAGAAAAATGAGTTTGATATGTGTTATGAGTTGAATTGTGTTTCTCCAAATTTCATATATTGAAACTCTAACCCTCAGTACCTCAGAACATGACCTTAATTGGAAATAGTGTTGTTGCAGATGTAATTAGTTAAATTAAGATAAGGTTATACTAGATTAGGTGAGCCCCTGGTCCAATATGACTTGTGTCATCATAAAAAGGAGAAAGTTGGG